ATTACCTTTCTAAAAGACTTGTTTTTTATTTCAGATTCATTACTACGTACAACTTACATTGAGTTTTCTTGTAATTTTCCTAACCTTCAACTTCGGCTGAGCTGAGCATAAGCATATCGTGGAATAATACGGCGGCGTTGTTTGACTAGTATGTTTCGTTTTTGATTCCGTGGATTGACTTGTTTACATCGTCTACGAAATGTCGGGCTGAAGTTTTTTTTTTCCTTAAATTTTCAAAAAATTTAATACTTTTGGTGGGATATATAAGATAATCAGGGTAATTTTCGTTTATTTTGTAAGATTTTGGTGTTTGGTTTGTAAGTAATAAAATATTACAGGATTCTTTTGTTACAAATAATGTTTACTGTTGGTAACGTGGGGGTAATCTGATACCCTCTCCCACCCCTAAGATTAAAATATTACTGAGTAATCTAATTTTTATACCTATTTTGTCTTTAATTAAATACCATTTTGGACACAATTGCCCTTAAATATCTACCAAATAACAATTTTCCTTGCCCCCATACATTTGAGAAATTATTAAAACACCCCAGTCACAAAAAAGTTTAAAAATTAACAAAATACCCCACCACCCAAGACCACCGCCGACCGTAGGTGTCAGTCGCTGTAATGATGCAAGACCGGTGGGATCTGGCCAGTCAGATCCATGGACAGAAACGGCTATATCTGGTCATTTTTATGACCGTTTCATGATGGATTTGTGATTCATGGTCGGAAATGGCTTTGTTGGCGCATGACCGACCATATACAGCCATTCATGCTCGATTTTGTCGACTGTCGGCAACGGCCGGCCGTGGTGGCTAGTTGTCGATAGTAGCTTGGGGTGGGTGAGGTGATTTTGCTACAAATTAATGTTTTATATGGTTGGGTTGTTTTAGCAGAATTTCAAATGTGGTGGTTAAAAGAAATTATTCAACAAATAATAATAAAAATATTATTCTTAAATAATATTATGTTAATATTTAAAAAGGAAGACAATTTAGCAATCTATGTAACATACTAACCTATTTATCCTTCCAACCAAACAATCCCTATAGTTTCGGCTTATAAACGATGCCAAGAATCGTGAGATCAACCTCCCAAAATCATGTCATCCCTAAAATTTCTCCGGCAACAATTATAATTTGATTGTATAAAAACCCTTGAAAAAAGAGAGAAAAGGGTGAGGTCATCATTGCAAGGCAACAATAAACAATTCTTTTGTAACTACCTCACCAAATATTGGAATAGCATCACAGTGGATGTAGGTTTGATTCCAACTCACATAACCACTTTAAAAATTATCTTCAACTTCTTTTCTTTTTGCATAATTTTTTTTTAGGCCAATTTTCATTAATCCACGACAGATTATTCGGTTCCACCAAAGTCAATTGAATATCAGAAGTTGTTACGATTTAGCTATATTTCAGCAATAATGATAGAGTCTTCCTTAATAATCAAGGGATTATAACAAAGCCAATATGCTTTAGATGTGCATAGCAAAGCAAATCCATTGTCAATGATTTGCTAAAAAGAGGTTCATAATTTGGTTTCTTCTCCATTCAGGTTCAATCTTGGTCACTATGATTCCAGTTGACCTTCAAATTGCAAGAAATGGTAGTAAAACGGGAAAAGAGGTGTAGTTATAAACCTGAATTGAATCAGTCGTGACCGTCTCTCTCCTCTTCAAAGAAAAATGGAAATAGAATACTTAGGCTGCGTTGTTTTACATTTGGGAATACTACTTTAGTATTCCCAAAAAAGTTAAACAGTAAAATACCCAAAAATTCAGATTTTTGAAAATATTACCTCAAAATTATTAACTTTTTAAACCCTTAAATTTGATAATTAAATTAAATACCCCTAAATATTTTTTTTAAATTACAAAAACACCCCAATAATCTACATTTACCAGATTCCGGCCACCACCACGGAAAATGGCCGAATCTGGTAGAATGGGCACTACCGCTGAATCTGACGGCAATGCGTCGATCTAGCCTTTTCCGGCAGATCCACGGTGGATCTGGCCGGAAAAGGCCAGATCTAAGGCCTAGATCTGGCCGTTGAGGCAGATCTTTGGCCGTAACACTCGGTCACGACGGCCAACAAAAGGTCGTCGTTGACCATCAATGACGACCGTGTGTGGCTGTCGTTGAGAGCAAATACGGCCAGATCTGGCCGTTGACGGCCAGATCTGACGTAGATCTGGCCTTTTGGCAGATCCACCATGGATCTGGCCGGAAAAGGCCATAGCGACGCATGACCGACAAGATCCAACCGTCATGCGCCATACGGCTGCTCGGCCCTCCGGTTGGTGGTCGCCGGCTGGGGGTGTTTGAGGGTGGGTTAGGGGTATTTTTGTTAACTTTTAATGTTTTATTATAGGGGGTATTTTGTAAAAAAACAAACATAAAGGAGATTTTATTAATTTATAAATTTTACCTCGTAATACCTGCCCAATTCAACTTTTTTTTAACTTTTTTCAAAAAACTTTTCTCAAAACCCCCAAATTTTGAACCAAACGCAGCCATAACTACAGAGTTTTGGTTCCCCTCGAGGTTCGGGGAATAAATTTAAGTCACCCAAGGATTTTGAAAAGTCACAAATACAACCCAAAATTAGACAAATGTTTTTGGAATTTTAACAATGGAAGGATTGAAACATAAAATTAAAAGAAACTAAAATTCATAAAGTTTTTTAAAAAATGAATAGTTTAATTTTAATATATCATTTGAAAAACAAACACGATGGATGAAAAAGATTTATATACTTTCAATGCAAAAATTTGGAGGAAAAAAAAAAAAACCTTTTTATAAGGAAGTTGGAAGTTTGTTGAAGGGGAGACAAATTTTTGAGTGTATTTGTCAGTTACAAAAAATTCCCCAAACATTGAGGGGGAAATAGTAATATTGCTTTCCCATGTGGATATAAAGTTGCCATGGACATCACACTTTCTTTATTTCTTCACTAATTAAAACCATCTTTATACTTTCCATTAATTCTCCTCGATAACTTAAACACGTCTTTTCACTACATTCACATCGACAAAAATTAAAATTAATTAATTATATTATATATTATATGATTCAAAAACGCGTTTTCCAGAGATAAGATAAGTATAATACAACTTTGGTCTAAAATTTCATTTAATGCGAGTATGCGACAACATCAATTTATTAAATGAAAATGAAAAAAAGTATTCATTATTAACTCTTTAATGGTGGCATTCTAGTAATTTCATTAGTCAAACTTCATCAATTTCGGAGATTAATAGAAAAAGCTTGTTCCCCACTTACCCTCCCCATGATAATGAAGTCTTCTGTTTATAATTCTAATGTTTAATGACCATAAACTCCCTTTTTAACAAACTTGCGAGGGTAAAATTATAATTACATACTCGATGTAGGAGATTCCAACTCCCTCTGACCTGCGCATGATCACTATCAGACTATCAGTCATGATCTTGTTTTAGAAAGGACTGGAGGATACTATTACACTGTGGACGCCATCACGATAATAACTATACGCTGTAATAGGTCACGTGACAGTAGTTCAGATCACGTGATTAGCCGTACAGTTTGAACCCGTGACCATTCCATTAATTAGGTTATTAATACCAAGGATCAGGCTCTTTTGTTAACATTAAACAGTAATTAATTATTAATTATTATTATTATGATCCATAAATTCAAATAATTTACATAATATTTATCTCATCATTGCTCTGACTTGTGAATTATGATATATCAACAAAACTCATCTCTCTCTCTCTCTTTTTTTTTTTTTTAATATCATATTTTTAAAATTTATAAACATAACATAAAATTTGCAAAAATCTCCCTAAAAAGAAAGGTCAATATTCCCAAAAAAAATTTGAACCAACTAGATAACCATACTCTTGTGACCGTACGACAAGATTTTAGTCATTTAAGTAAATTATCTAAAGATCTTATATTCGAGTCTCACAAAAGTATCACTTATCATATTTCTATCTTATTTGACTTACTGGATTTGTAACGTATTTAATAGATTTCAACAAATAGACTCAGAGATTAATTAAAGTGTGCATGATGGTGTTATATCAACTATAAATTATAGTTTATACATGTTTAACAGTGATTAATTAATAATGTTTAGTTGTTAAATATTGGGTTATAAATGTTGAATAAATTGAGAGACCAATTCATCACTAAACTTTAAGAAAAAAAAGACCGTACAATAAAACTTGTTTATTTTATTTTATCGATTTATAAATTTATTAATACTACATCGCAATTGAAACTTAGTCTTTTAATAATAGGAGGGAAAAAAAATGGTTAAAGAAAGGTATAGACGTGTAGTTGCAATAAAAATACATATAATAATATGCAAAAACAATGATGAATTTCTTAGTTGACTTCTAGTGGTCACCGGATTGACAAATTCAATCAATATTAATCTATATCTATTCACCAATCATAAGTGAATAATATTTAAATTAATTATATATTATGTGAATAATACTATATATATACAAAATTTATAATATTATCCTATTATTTTTCTTCAAGGTATTTTTTAAATGGAAATAAAAATAAAAGAACGACACTTAAACATTAAAATAACAGATTTTACCTTTTAAAGAAAATTATAAATACAATTTTAATGGATATTATGTTGAAACAATTTAAATATTAAATCAACCATATATTAAATTGATAATAAATCTAGTGACATTTAATTATCCAAGAGTAATCCAGATAGTTAACAACCTAAGAGAAAACAAACAAAATCAAACATTTCTAAATCGAATAAGAAAAAAAAAAAAAGAATAATAAATTAAAAAGCAGGATGTCTCCACCACCAGACATAAATAAATACAGTAGTTGAAAACTGCAAATGCAAATAAATAAAACAAAAATAAATAAATAAAATTAAATCCATGCAGCCTAACGTTAAGTTGACTATCTTCAATTAAACCCATTAATTAATTCAATTCCTTTAATTAAATTAATCAATCCCCACTTTCACTAGTTCACCATTTTACCCCCTTCTCTTCTCTCTTCTCCCCAACCTCCCTCTTCTTGTTTTTCTCCTTCTCTTCACAGCACCAAAAACCCTAAAACTAAACCTTGATCTTCTCGCCCCGACCAGCTTTCTCTCTTGATCCGATCTGGCTCCGACTTCACCTCTCATTTCACTCGTAATTTACCACTTCAACTACTAGTGGCTGTGGACTCAAACGAGTTGGGTTCGAAATGTACAAGAACCAGCTGCAAGAGCTGGCGCAGAGGAGCTGCTTCAATCTCCCCTCCTATACGTGCATTCGGGAAGGTCCCGACCACGCGCCTAGATTTAAAGCCACTGTTAACTTTAACGGCGAGATCTTCGAGAGTCCTCACTACTGTTCTACTCTCCGCCAGGCCGAACACTCTGCCGCCGAAGTGGCTCTCAACTCCCTCTCCAACCGTGGGCCCTCCCCATCCCTCGCCGCCAGGATCCTGGTCAGTTCACGCGCCTCCCTCTTTACATTACGTCACTTGCTTAGTCGCCGCCGTTAGGGTTCCATTTAAGGAATTTTGTTTTCTTAGTTCTTAGCTGATCATTTGAAGTCAATAGCAATGAATAAAGTAATAAATAAGTAACTTTTCAGAGGAAAAATAAAAAATTTGCTGATTTGGTGCGAGCTTTGTGCTGAATGACCAGCTTAAGCTTCTTTCTGTGGGTCAAATTTTCAACGGCGGCGATCGCCGGAGTTTGAGTGGATTTGGTGGGTTGGATAAAATGACCGAAATGCCCCTGGTTTGTATTTGCGGTTACAAAAATGCGTGGGATTCTCTGACCCGGGTGACCACAATCAAGTTTTTTTAAATTATTTTATTTTTACAGAGTGGTTACGGGGAAGTTTCTGGGTGAGGGAGATCGACATTGAAAACGTTTACTAAACCATTAATTTTGTTTTGTTTGTCGTTTTATCTGGAAAACAGCTCTAGCGTTTTGGGTCTGCCTGTGTTATTAGTTTGGTGTCTAAGGGGTATTTCGGTCATAAAAAAGTATGTGGTTTTCGGTGACTTCTGGCTCTTTACTCACCTGGGTTCTACAAAGTAATATTCTTTTTGGAATTGTAGTGAATTTAGGAAAGTTAAGGTGAAGTATCTGGTGGGCTCTGGGAATCATAGACGATAAGGGATATTGATCTTAATTTGATATTGTATTTAATGTTTCGAAAAGGAATAATTTGATTCCCTAAAAAGTTATTTTGAATGTATGTTATGTGCCTGAATGCTGAATATCCAACTCTATGGGCATTTGACTTACTGTGTACTATAATTATGCATTTTTTGAACCTCAGTTAACATCTAGGTTAATGGGGGTGTATATCTCATAGAAAATATTAATTGGTTTGTGGGCATGCTGGATTTAGAAAGGGAGTAGCCGTTGATCATGTCTTCTCACATCCTTTTTCTGTACTCAATTTTCTTCAACAAGTAGCTCGTCATTCTACAAGCTTGTGTCTGCATTCAAATTCCTGTTGCAAACTAAGACATATAACCTTTTTGTTTTTTAATTCTTGGAAAAAAATGACAACAAATAAATTAAATTAATTTAAATCTTGTTCCAGCTTGTTCAAGTGATAAAAAGTTGAACTGTTTAAAAAAATATATTTTGACATGGATTATTAGAAATTCTGTATGATTATCTGGCTGATCCTTTTCTACCGTTCTAACATCTTTCTAACCTCAGACTCCAACTTAAATTTTACCTTAGATTCAATGTTTTAAATATGCACTGGTAAATATGTTTATCCATCTTATATATTCCATGTAGTGACTAGTGATCACCTAATATATACCCTCTATACAGTATACATAGGATAAACTCTTCTTGCCATAGGGTAGACAACTTTCTCACATCTCTGTTTAGTACATGGATATAAGAGTTGTTACAAGGATTTGGTTGTACTTCATAAACCAAAGTTGAAACTTCATTTAACTGTTTAAATGTCCTCTGTTCTATAAGCTTTATCACATTTCTTAGTGATTCTTTGCTACAAATTTACAATATGGTTATATATATGAAATATACAAAAATTTCTGCCTTTTCTTAACTGGCTTCACTGGTGGACAATCATTCTTCTGGTATAAACACAATAAAAGGTCCTGAGTATGTGAAGCAAATAATAGAACTTTTAAATTACTGTAGGCTAAACATAGATTGCTTTCATAGCTACCATGTGTTTTAATTTGCTACCTGCTTGATGTTATGGCCGTTTCTGGAAAATAGGAAAAAGGAGGAGCAGAGAGAAAGACAGAGCAGATAGGTTATAGCTAAAGTTGGTTTTTTTTTTTTTGTTGTCTAGAGCTCCCAGGTGGTTATTGATGATGAAAATTTGCCAGAAAATTCTTGTTTATTGCTATGTGGCCTTTTGGTATTGTTTGTTGCTTGATGCACTTCGGTCACAGCTGTATCTAATTTCGTTTCTTTTAAGATACTGATTAGTTTTTTCCATGGTTAGGATGAGACAGGGGTTTACAAGAACCTCTTACAGGAAATTGCACAAAGAGTTGGAGCACCATTGCCACAATACACAACAATGAGGTCAGGCCTTGGACACCTACCCGTTTTTACAGGTATGGTAGAATTGGCTGGAATAACATTTACAGGAGAATCTGCCAAGAACAAGAAGCAAGCAGAGAAGAATGCTGCTATGGCAGCTTGGACATCTCTAAAACAATGTAAGTTTTGTTCTTTTTTCTCTTTAAAGAAAAGGTAAATTGCTGTTGTGATAAAATAGAATTAATCCGAACTAAGCCTCAAAATTATTTGACATGAAATCTCTCTCTCAGTTCCGTCCTACCCAGTGCTATGTTGTCTATAAGTCATTTAGAAACTAAGACCTATGGTATACAAGTTCTCTATGATCCGAGCACTATATGTGCAATAAAACTGGACTGCTGCTCTTGACCGTCATTTTACGTTAGGGTCATCTCTTTGGTCATATAGTCCCCAATCCAACATTCCTGACCCTCTCTTGGAAGGGTATGAAGTGTTATCAAAACTTTCCTATGGACCTAGTTGGCAGTAATATGTTTGAACTCTGAATTTAGCCTACGAACTTGTGCTTTGTTTGTGAATTATGTGTTTTCCTTCTTTCACAGTGGCAAAAGAAACAGCAAGTTCTTCGACTGAGCCAGAGAACAATGATGAGTTAGAACAGATAACGATAGCACGGGCCTTATTAAATTACCGGCTGAAGGAAAAGATGGCCATGGCAAACTCCACTGATGCTTCCATACCATTTACAAAGAAATTTCCTGTTCCGAGCCCTAGACCGACAAGTCCACAACCTCCACTTGCTACCACGTCAAGAATCCTACCTTTAATTTGCCCTAAGGCAGCTTCTCGACATAGACCAACATCCACAACAATAAATGATAAACCTCTGCTGGCAGTACATCCGTCAGCTACAGAAGGCCGAGGGGCTCGACCTCAAAGATTCCCTGCAGCAGGAGCAGCTCCATATGTTCCCATTCGGCAATTTAGGACTTGTCATGGTATAGCCCCGCCAGTAACAGTGCGAACTGCTGTGCCTTGTTTCTCTGCACCTCCACTTCCGCCACCATCTATGCTTCCTCATCAGGTGATGCGAGCCCCACCTGTACGAATTGCTCCAGCAGTCACTATTAGGCAGGCTGTGCCTGTATATGCTGCTCCACCAGTTCGTAAAGAGGATTCTATGACTCCTCAAAAAGAAGATCATCCAACCACTATTGTTTCCACCATTCGAAAAGAAGATCCTCCAAACGTTGCTTCTGCCATTCAAAAGGAAGATTTTCCAAGTGTTATCGCTTCTCCCATTCTTAATGAAGACTCGCCAACCATCAGTGCTCCTGCTGTGCTAGATAGAACGCAATGCCAAGTAGAGAAAAGAGAAAGCAAAATCATGAAAAATCTGGAAGAAATTGAAGCAGCACAAAGCTTGGGACAACTTAAAATTTGATAGCTTTTAGGGATGAACAATAGGAAAACAGTTCAGGGTTTTGTGTTGGGCTTAAGTTTGTTTTGTGATCTTCTCTCATCTTATCATATATGAGTGTCTTATCTTCTTTCCTCAATGTTCCTATCTCTAGCTATTTTACTTTTTTTTGTTTGCAAAGAAGATGCAGTTTCTGCAGGTTTATATTAGAAGTATCAACAGGCCCAATATATTGGCAGTTCAGGAGCAGTAGTGTCAACTTATTTGCCTATATTATTAGCAGTTGCATATTATGGTCGTATCGTTATTGAGTAATGTTACACTTATGAAGTAAATACTCTAATTTTACATTTCAAAGTGATGTGGCAATTAATTAACATTGATTACACCATTTCATCGTATTTATGTTCATGTCACATCATTTGGAATACAAAATTAGAATATTTACTCCCCTAGTGTAGCATTTTAGAGTGAGTTGTGGGGTGGTAATTATTTTGCTATTCCACTATCTTTTTTTTTTCTTTTTTGTGCTTTCTGTTTTGCTCTTTCACTGTTGAGAGCCCAGATATGATTTTTGGAATGATTCATTTGATTAGTGGAGTTAAACTGATAATTGGAAATGTTCTGGGTTATTGCCTTCTGAATGAAAAAATAAAAACTTGTATATTATTACCATACACGATTCTGAATGAAATTTCTGGCAATATTCAAATGAAAACAAGATAGAATCAGAATTAGGCTATCTTTCACTATAATTTGGAGGGTTGGAAAGTGACAAATTGTAACAGTTAGCAAATAAAAAATTAATGTGTGAAATAATGCTGAGTTCATAATTATGTTATAAATAAAATTTGGGAAATGAGATCCAAAATTGGAAAGGAGAAAATGGGATTTGAGAGTGGGAGTGGAAATTTGAAAAGCACTAAACACATTAGTAGTTGATTAATCAAATCCTAACACAAAGACAAAGTGGGGTAAACTTTATTCTCTGCACTAACTCAACATCAACCTCTTTTCATCTTCCTCCATCCATCCCACAGTGGGTTCATGGCCATGCCCATGGCCCACTCCTTTCATTATACAAATTTAAATATTATCCTATTATTTTTTCTCAAGGTATTTTTTAAATGGAAATAAAAATAAAGAACGACACTTAAACATTAAAATAACAGATTTTACCTTTTAAAGAAAATTATAATACAATTTTAATGGATATTATGTTGAAACATTAAATATTAAATCAACCATATTAAATTGATATAAATCTAGTGACATTTAATTATCCAAGAGTAATCCAGATAGTTAACAACCTAGAGAAACAAACAAATCAAACATTTCTAAATCGAATAGAAAAAAAAAAAAGAAAATAAATTAAAAGCAGGATGTCTCCACCACCAGACATAAATAAATACAGTTGTTGAAAACTGCAAATGCAAATAAATAAACAAAATATAAATAAAATTACATCATGCAGCCTAACGTTCAGTTGACTATCTTCAATTAAACCCATTATTAATTCAATTCCTTTAATTAATTAATCAATCCCCACTTTCACGTTCACCATTTACCCCCTTCTCTTCTCTCTTCTCCCCAACCTCCCTCTTCTTGTTTTTCTCCTTCTCTTCACAGCACCAAAAACCCTAAAACTAAACTTTGATCTTCTCGCCCCGACCCGCTTTCTCTCTTGATCCGATCGCGCTCCGACTCACCTCTCATTTCACTCGTAATTTACCACTTCAACTACTAGTGGCTGTGGACTCAAACGAGTTGGGTTCGAAATGTACAAGAACCAGCTGCAAGAGCTGGCGCAAGGAGCTGCTTCAATCTCCCCTCCTATACGTGCATTCGGGAAGGTCCCGACCACGCGCCTAGATTTAAAGCCACTGTTAACTTTAACGGCGAGATCTTCGAGAGTCCTCACTACTGTTCTACTCTCCGCCAGGCCGAACACCTGCGGCCGAGTGGCTCTCAACTCCCTCTCCAACCGGGGCCCTCCCCTTCCCTCGCCGCCAGGATCCTGGTCAGTTCACGCGCCTCCCTCTTTACATTACGTCACTTGCTTAGTCGCCGCCGTTAGGTTCCATTTAGGAATTTTGTTCTGTTCTTAGCTGATCATTTGAAGTCAATAGCAATGAATAAAGTAATAAATAATGACTTTTTAGAGGAAAAATAAAAATTTGCTGATTTGGTGCGAGCTTTGTGCTGAATGACCAGCTTAAGCTTCTTTCTGTGGGTCAAATTTTCAACGGCGGCGATCGCCGGAGTTGGGTGGATTTGGTGGGTTGGATGAAATGACCGAAATGCCCCTGGTTTGTATTTGCGGTTACAAAAATGCGTGGGATTCTCTGACCCGGTGACCACAATCAAGTTTTTTTAATATTTTTTTTTACAGAGTGGTTACGGGGAGTTTCTGGTGAGGGAGATCGACATTGAAAACGTTTACTAAACCATTAATTTTGTTTTTTTGTCGTTTTATCTGGAAACAGCTCTAGCGTTTTGGGTCTGCCTGTGTTATTAGTTTGGTGTCTAGGGGGTATTTCGGTCATAAAAAAGTAGTGTTTTTCGGTGACTTCTGGCTCTTTACTCACCTGGGTTCTACAAGTAATATTCTTTTTGGAATTGTAGTGAATTTAGGAAAGTAAGGTGAAGTATCTGGTGGCTCTGGGAATCATAGACGATAGGGATATTGATCTTAATTTGATTGTATTTAATGTTTCGAAAAGGAATAATTTGATTCCCTAAAAAGTTATTTTGAATGTATTTTCTGTGCCTGAATGCTGAATACCAACTCTATGGGCATTTGACTTACTGTGTACTATAATTATGCATTTTTTGAACCTCAGTTAACATCTAGGTTATCGGGGGTGTATATCTCATAGACAATATTAATTGGTCTGTGGGCATGCTGGATTTAGAAAGGGAGTAGCCGTTGTCATGTCTTCTCACATCCTTTTTCTGTACTCAATTTTCTTCAACAAGTAGCTCGTCATTCTACAAGCTGTGTCTGCATTCAAATTCCTGTTGCAAACTAAGACGTATAACCTTTTGTTTTTTATTCTTGGAAAAAAATGACACAAATAAATTAAATTAATTTAAATCTGTTCCAGCTTGTTCAAGTGATAAAAAGTTGAACTGTTTAAAAAAATATATTTTGACATGGATTATTAGAATTCTGTATGATTATCTGGCTGATCCTTTTCTACCGTTCTAACATCTTTCTAACCTCAGACTCCAACTTAATTTACCTTAGATTCAATGTTTTAAATATGCACTGGTAAATATGTTTATCCATCTTTATATTCCATGTAGTGACTATTGCACCTAATATATACCCTCTATACAGTATACATAGGATAAACTCTTCTGCCATGGGTAGACACTTTCTCACATCTCTGTTTAGTACATGGATATAAGAGTTGTTACAAGTTTTGGTTGTACTCATAACCAAAGTTGAAACTTCATTTAACTGTTTAAATGTCCTCTGTCTATAAGCTTTATCACTTTCTTAGCGATTCGTTGCTACGAATTTACAATATGGTTATATATATGAATTACAAAAATTTCTGCCTTTTCTTACTGGCTTCACTGGTGGACAATCATTCTTCTGGTATAAACACAATAAAGGTCCTGGTATGTGAAGCAAATAATAGAACTTTTAAATTACTGCGGCTAAACATAGATTGCTTTCATAGCTACCATGTGTTTAATTTGCTACCTGCTTGATGTATGGCCTTCTGGAAAATAGAAAGAGGGAGAGAGGAAAGACAGAGCAGATAGGTTATAGCTAAAGTTGTTTTTTTTTTTCTGTTGTCTAGAGCTCCCAGGTGGTTATTGATGATGAAAATTTGCCAGAAAGTTCTTGTTTATTGCTATGTGGCCTTTTGGTATTGTTTGTTGCTTGATGCACTTCGGTCACAGCTGTATCTAATTTTGTTTCTTTAAAGATACTGTTATTTTTTTTCATGGTTAGGATGAGACAGGGGTTTACAGAACCTCTTACGGAAATTGCAACCTGATTCAAAAACGCGTTTTCCAGAAATAAGATACGTATAATACAACTTTGGTCTAAAATTTCATTTAATGCGAGTATGCGACAACATCAATTTATTAAATGAAAATGAAAAAAAGTATTCATTATTAACTCTTTAATGGTGGCATTCTAGTAATTTCATTAGTCAAACTTCATCAATTTCGGAGATTAATAAAAAAGCTTGTTCCCCACTTACCCTCCCCATGATAATGAAGTCTTCTGTTTATAATTCTAATGTTTAATGACCATAAACTCCCTTTTTAACAAACTTTCGAGGGTAAAATTATAATTACATACTCGATGTGGGAGATTCCAAATCCCTCTGACCTGCGCATGATCACTTATCAGACTATCAGTCATCATCTTGTTTTAGAAAGGACTGGAGGATCAGGATAATATTAGTCTATTACACTGTGGACGCCACCACGATAATAACTATACGCTGTAGTAGGTCACGTGACAGTAGTTCAGATCACGTGATTAGCCGAACAGTTTGAACCCGTGACCATTCCATTAATTAGGTTATTAATACCAAGGATCAGGCTCTTTTGTTAACATTAAACAGTAATTAATTATTAATTATTATTATTATGATCCATAAATTCAAATAATTTACATAATATTTATCTCATCATTGCTCTGACTTGTGAATTATGATATATCAACAAAACTCATCTCTCTCTCTCTCTTTTTTTTTTTTTTAATATCATATTTTTAAAATTTATAAACATAACATAAAATTTGCAAAAATCTCCCTAAAAAGAAAGGTCAATATTCCCAAAAAAAATTTGAACCAACTAGATAACCATACTCTTGTGACCGTACGACAAGATTTTAGTCATTTAAGTAAATTATCTAAAGATCTTATATTCGAGTCTCACAAAAGTATCACTTATCATATTTCTATCTTATTTGACTTACTGGATTTGTAACGTATTTAATAGATTTCAACAAATAGACTCAGAGATTAATTAAAGTGTGCATGATGGTGTTATATCAACTATAAATTATAGTTTATACATGTTTAACAGTGATTAATTAATAATGTTTAGTTGTTAAATATTGGGTTATAAATGTTGAATAAATTGAGAGACCAATTCATCACTA